TGTGTTTAGACAAAATCACAAGCGTAGACTGTTCTTTTGGTCTAATGATCCCAGAGAAAAGTGTTTTGTGTGTGTGTGTGTGTGTGTGTGTGACCAAGCTGTTTTTAGTCAAACTGCTTCATCACGAAAATCCAGACCAGCAGCTCTAGACAAGAAAACCAGTTCAAACCAGGATAGAAATGTTATTTAATTTTCAGTCTTATTTTAATATCATTAAATTATTCTTTTTTATTCATATTTTGAAGACTGTATTTTTATTCATATTTTTATTACTGTGCTTATTTAGTTAATTTAGTGTGTGTGTTTGTGTTTTTTTATCTGTCTATTTAGTTATTTTATTTTAGTTTTAGTTATTTTATTGCATCACGTTAAAATAGAATAAAATTAGAAATGTTGCTTTGGCAGCTGGATGAAAAATAATTAGTTAAAGGTTAATAAGGTTTTTTTTTTCAAATAACAAAAAAATATATTTTATGGTTTTAGTTATCTATAATAACACTCACAGAGTAAAAGAATCAAATTATTCTGAATATTTTATTGCATCACGTTAAAATAGAATAAAATTAGAAATGTTGCTTTGGCAGCTGGATGAAAAATAATAAGTTTATGTTAATAAGGTTTTTTTTTTTCAAATAACAAAAATATATTTTATGGTTTTAGTTATCTATAATAACACTCACAGAGTAAAAGAATCAAATTATTCTGAATAGAAGCACAGGTAATTTGTTCTTTAATTTGATGAGAAATGTTTGATTTCATGTTTTCTGAAGCCAGATTAGAGACTTTAGAAGAGACTTGGATTTCTGCAAAAATATACAGTAGGTAACAAAATAAAGGCATTATGGGTGATTTTCCAATTTTGTATTATTAGAGCAGTAAATGAAGTTAATAGCGTTGCTTGCTAAGTTGCTAATGCTGGTAATCACAACATCTGGTACACGTCGCGTTATCACCACAACATCTGAAGATAGACTGATGGTCTGATCTCTAATACTCGATGCAGTGCCTGTGAAAGAAAGCAATGCTGCAAGTTGACCATGAATTCGATTAAGGCGATTAAGAAATGCAGTGTAACGCGTGGCGTCAGGGAACATTAAGCTAGCCGAGGCAGTCTTGCGAGAGGAACTTTATTGTCTTCGCCTTGTAGATGAGATGTTTCTGCTCATTCCTCCCCCTCATTTAAAGTGCTTTGCTGCTCCTCCTTTATGAATAGCAATATATTTGCAATAATAGAGGCAGTACGGAGAAATGAAGTGTTGTGGGGGAAGTGTGAGAGATGGGCCAAAATAAACAGAACAGCTCGTGCAAAACTCAAGGGCATATAGAGCAATTGCATGACCTGGCTCCCTTATTATAGTCATTACTGTAACAGCGCTGTAACTATAATTCCAGATGTCAATCATCTACAATGTTAATTTAGCACAGGTTATTTGGGTTTCTGAGGGGATCTCAACAATGTCTCAAACTGTGCAATCAAATATCAAGAGACTTCCTTATAAACTCGAAGACTTTCCATCAATTTCGACTGTTTGTCAGTGTAATAATGCTCTGTACTCGCACTGAAATGGTCTCATTTGTGTCTGTTTTTATTTCTCCTATTGGGAATTTCAGGAGAAACATCGAACGTTTGTGACCCACATGAAACATTGCTCTCTTCCTGGGACTGAATCGAGGCTCGCGGGAAGAGATGCGGGACCGCGTCTGAATTGGTGATTCAAATCAATCAAAGTTCAAAGAAAATCAATCGTCATTTTAACTTCTGAAGAAAAGCTCGTCGACACAAACTTTGAATGTTGACTTAATAAAGCATTGTTTGAACATTTAGAAAAAAGTTTTACAATGTTTTCTATTTAAAAATAGTATATAGACAGACAGACGCATCTATCCATTGATAGATAGATAGATAGACAGATAGATAGATAGATAGACAGATAGATACAGTAGATAGATAGATAGATAGATAGATAGATAGATAGATAGATAGATAGATAGATAGATAGATAGATAGATAGATAGATAGATACTTTGTAGATAGATAGATAGATGATTGATTGATTGATTGACAGACAGATAGATTGATAGATAGATAGATAGATAGATAGATAGATAGATAGATAGATAGATAGACATAGATAGATTGATAGACGAACATTGATGGATAGATAGATAGATAGATAGATATATAGAAAGATGAATGGATGGAAATAAACAAGAATAGATAGATAGATAGATAGATAGATAGATAGATAGATAGATAGATGGACGGATGGAAAGATGGACGGATAGAAAGATGAATGGATGGAAATAAACAAGAATAGATAGATGGATAGATAGATAGATGGATGGATGGATGGATGGATAGATAGATAGATGGATGGATAGATAGATGGATAGATAGATAGATAGATAGATAGATAGATAGATAGATAGATGGATGGATGGATAGATAGATAGATGGATGGATGGATAGATAGATGGATGGATAGATGGATGGATGGATGGATGGATGGATGGATAGATGGATGGATGGATAGATAGATAGATGGATGGATGGATAGATAGATAGATAGATAGATGGATAGATAGATAGATGGATGGATGGATAGATGGATGGATGGATCTATGGATGGATGGATCTATGGATAGATAGATGGATGGATGGATAGATAGATTTTACCTGCCCTGTTTGCATAGTGATAAAAAAGTGAAAACAGGAATTGCTCAGGAAAAGGGATAGATAGATGGATGGATGGATGGATAGATAGATAGATAGATAGATAGATGGATGGATGGATGGATGGATAGATAGATAGATAGATAGATGGATGGATGGATAGATAGATAGATGGATGATGGATGGATGGATAGATAGATAGATAGATAGATAGATAGATAGATGGATGGATGGATGGATAGATAGATGGATGGATGGATGGATGGATGGATAGATGGATGGATGGATAGATGGATAGATAGATAGATGGATGGATGGATATATAGATAGATAGATAGATAGATAGATAGATAGATAGATAGATAGATGGATAGATAGATAGATAGATGGATGGATAGATGGATGGATGGATCTATGGATAGATGGATGGATGGATCTATGGATAGATGGATGGATGGATCTATGGATAGATAGATGGATGGATGGATAGATAGATTTTACCTGCCCTGTTTGCATAGTGATAAAAAGTGAAAACAGGAATTGCTCAGGAAAAGGGATAGATAGATGGATGGATGGATGGATGGATGGATGGATAGATAGATAGATAGATAGATAGATAGATGGATAGATAGATAGATAGATAGATAGATAGATGGATGGATAGATGGATGGATGGATCTATGGATAGATGGATAGATAGATGGATGGATAGATAGATAGATTTCACCTGCCCTGTTTGCATAGTGATAAAAAAGTGAAAACAGGAATTGCTCAGGAAAAGGGATAGATGTGTGTTTAGATGTGTGTTTAGATGTGTGTTTGTGTGTGTAGAGAGAGAGAGATTGGTGTTTGTCTGAATCCTCCTCACAGGATTATAGTGATCTGTCAGCGAGTCTTCTGGCTCACAGTAACTCGAGTCGGCTCCGCCTGGGAGAAATAACAACACTGACGGATATATTTAGCCCAGGCCCGCTGGATCTCCCCCATTATCCAGCTCTCAGTCTGCGGGATCCAGAGCCTCCTCGCGCATCACACACACCTGAGATTCACACACACAGAACTCTGGGAGGATTTGGGGTTTGTCATTTGCAAGTGTCATCACTTCGGGGATTTGCAGAGCTGTAAAGTATCAAGGAAGGGTTTCTGCGTGATTTCTCTTTTCAGAAGTTCCTCGCTGATTATCCTGACCTCAACACTTCTGACTCTCTCTTTCAAAAGTTACTCCATCTCAGAGTCATTCACCAGCGAGATATCTGAGGGATAATGTTCATCCAGCCGCTTGTTCTCTCAGAATAACCACCTTTAGTGTGTGTGTGTGTGTGTGTGTGTGTGTGTGTGATCTCAGAATAACCCCAAACAGGGTGATCAGGATCAGGTCTTCATTAGCCTGAAGGGGTTTATTCTGAGATAACAACCGGATTATTACACGGATACTCGCCACATCAGTAAATAATTAGACATGAAATATTGATCTGAGTTGAAATATTTTATTATCTCTTTAAACGCAAATCTCCGCGGAGAGAGCAGTTTCAGCGGCGAGATCAAACTAGACGGACATTTATACAATCATAACTCTTATTACTCAGCATTTCAAAACATAAATAATTATGGAGATTACAGATATTGATTTCAGATTAAACTGTTTTAAAATCATACGTGTTTGTATCTCATAATCCAACAGTGTACAAAACAATAGTCACAAAATGGCCGTCGCTGCGTTTGTATGAAACGAGAGAGAGCGAGTCCACGATACTGGATGGCATGATTCAATAACTACACAAAATATTGATTCGAGTTTTCATATTTTATTAGCTCACCATATGCAAAACTTCCACGAAGAAAAAACGTTCCTAAGTTATAGCGCCGCTATCAACTTTTTTTTTTATTTTTTTTTTTTTACAAAAGGTAAATTTTCCTGTTATAATATATAATTTCCCTTTAAAAAATGCTTACTACCATATGAATATGTGTACAGTCAGCCAGCTAAAAAAAAGAATAACTCAAAGTTTCAGTTACTATGAGGAAAGTGTACTTTGACAAGTCAAAGATGAATATTTTATGATAATTTTTACTTTTCACACCGTTTTAAAAATAAAAACAGTAGTCTACAGTAGCTACTCATAACTTAGAATTGTATTATAATTGTATTTCATTCGACTTTAATCGGCATTCTGTGATCAATTCACGCTACGGTAGCATTTTTCGACAAGGCAGCAAAAATCGACAGAGTTTGTGTTTCTGTTATCGGTAATAACACACCGCTGGATGCTGCGATTGACCAATCAGAATCAAGTATTCCACAGAGCCGCGTAATAAGAGAACTTACCGTCTTTCCCCACCAGGAAGTCCAGGTGGTGGTACGTGTAGGCGACCCCGATCTTGGTCTCCACCTGCGGTCTCTTGAGGGTGGAGTAAATCTTTCCAGGACTGTTGTCTTCCGTCTGACGAAACTTCCTCAAGCCGCAGCCCATTTCTGCCCAACGACTTAATCCTGGGAGGAAAGAGACACATTGTCAGAGGTTTAACAATGTCTTCAACACACATCTTCCACGTGTGGTCTGAAACGGTTCGTTTGAAGATTCAGTTTCTCTAAACTCCGCCTCTCTGAGAGCTGCTCTGCTCTGATTGGTCAGATGACCCTGTCTGTCGTGATTGGTCGACCGCTTACAATGCATATCAGAAACCAAACATCTGATTTAATTTCTTTTTTTGATGAAAACCCATATAATGGACTTCAATGGGGTCCAAACGGTTCAAGGTCCAAATGAGAGTTTCAGTGCAGCTTCAAAGGGCTTTAAACGACACCAGACGATGAATAAGGGTCTTATCAAGCGAAACGAGCGGCCATTTAAAAAATAAATAACAAAGTTTAAGTTTTATAAGCTCAAATGCTCGCCTTGCTCTGTTCTGTGATGCGCGTTCGTGACTCTTCTGTTCGAACTCGATCATCAAAATGAACGATAAATTTGATTCATTTGATGCATTCAACGAACGAAATGAACGAGTTGACTCTGGAAAAGATTCGTTCATTTTGATGAACAGGAGAGTCACGAACGCGCATCACAGAACAGAGCAAGGCGAGCATTTGAGCTTATAAAACTTAAACTTGGTTATTTATTTATTTATTAAATGATCGCTTGATAAGACCCTTATTCATCGTCTGGAATCGTTTAAAGCCCTTTGAAGCTGCACTGAAACTCTCATTTGGACCTTGAACCGTTTGGACCCCATTGAAGTCCATTATATGAATGTTTTGATCAAAAACCTTAATTTCTTTCCGACTGAAGAAAGAAAGACATGGACATCTTGGATGACATGGGGGTGAGTAAATTATCAGTTTTTTTTAAAGTGAACTACTCCTTTAATCTGCTCCTGTGTGTCCAGAAAAATACAGTAAACTACTGTTTTTTCCAGTCCCTTCAGCCTGGCGCTGCCTCATCCTGTGCAGAAAAAGACCCAATTAAGGCCACACTAGATTACTAAATAAATAAATAAGGGCTTCAGCTCATCATCAGAGCCCAATCTCACAACTGGCAGGCTGGGAATTAACACGTCCAGCCATTGCGAGGCCAAAAGTGCCCTCTGTTCATCAGCCAAACCCCCCGTCTCCAAATCCAAAGTGACAAGCGTCGACAGTCTCCGGCGGATCAGAAGAGTCCAGGTAATATCCCATTGTGACCAGCTGATTAAACCTGATGAAGAATACTCTCTATTATGTTCCTGTCTAATTACAGCGGTCGGACGAATCATCCGGCCGAGAATACACCGTTAATGAGGTGAACCGCTCCAATGAAAAGGTGAGAATCAATCACAGAAAATCAAGCAGATTGTTCATTAGGAGTCGGGATAATGCCGGCAGATCCGGCGAGAGCAACTTTAATTAGGAGCCAGGCGAGAGGCCATGCAGATTTATGAACGCTGTCATAGGAATCACTGTTTCTCGTGACATGGACATGAATGGATGCGTTTGGCGATCCGTGGCTGCATGTGGGAAATGACATCTGGAGTACAACAGTCATGCATCAGCAAGTGGGTCTTTCTCATTTTGATCGATTGAATGAGTTTTTTCAGCAACCCCTTTTAATGTTGTAATCTGATGCAATTCAGGCTCCAAAATGGTGTTTTTAGACTGAAATGAACGAGTTTTTCTTAGTGTGAATAGTCTTTGGTAACACTTTACTTGCAGGAGAGTGCATAATACCAGAGCCCGTCTAACGGCACTTCCTATTAGCCCCGTTGTGCATCACCTTGGTTGCAGTTCCATTAGAATTCCACTAGAGGTGATCACGGGCGAGTGCAGAATGAATGGGAGTCTATGGGGCTAAACGGCTAAATGTGTCTCTTTCACCTGCTTGTCGTTAAATCAACATAGATTTTATTGTTGATTCCGCAAGTTCAATATAGATTATAGGCCAAAAGTCGAAGGTTAGGCCATTGTTGGCCGGTGTGGTGAAGAGATGAGTCCCACCTTAGGACCCAAGCGATCCGATTGGTTCAAAGCTAGTTTTATGGGTAAACGCTTAGTTACAAATTAGAGAAAATCAGTTTATTATAAGAGACGTTATAAAGAGTCATTAATGTATTTTAACTTACATGTTTCATATACTAGTATATAACCGAAGCTGTAGATTGTAAATTTAAACATTTCTCGTTCTTATTGTTTTTTTAGTTAGCTTACATAGTAGCATAGCATTTATCCGCGGCAAACGTCAGAATGACTAGCCGAGTTAAGGCCGTTCCAGGCGGGCTAGTTACTGTAGATGTGCTGCTGATCCGAGGTTCTGACAACTCCGAAAACGTCAGAACAATGTTTTTAAAAGGCGCAATCTTTATAAATAAACCACAGATTTGTGCTTTAAACAACTATACAATATATTCTCTACTTAAAAACTCTTAAAATTACATTTCATGACACAATAACAGTAATATTTTTAAATTTCGCGGACTTTCTCCTCTGCTGTTGACGCTACCTACTATGAAAAGCGCTAAACGCGTATTGCTTGAAAAGCGCTAAACAAATAAACATATAACTTGATGGCAACAAACTGCTTTTTATCAAGTTATCGTGAGAACATATGAAGAGTTCAGATGCAAAAGCCTCTAAGTGCCATTTGAAATTTTCTTTTAAAATGACCATTTTTATCAAGCTTGTATATTTAAGTTCAGTAATTTCACTTAAATGATAATTAATAGGTAATCTTCATTGAACTTAATGAACTTAAATATACAAGCTTGATAAAAATGGTCATTTTAGAAGAAAATTTCAAATGGCTTTTAGAGGCTTTTGCATCTGAACTCTTCATATTTAGATCAGGCATACTACTGGCATACTATGGGGTCCTAAGATGGGACCCATCTCTTCACCACACCGGAGCACGCTAGCATTCTGCTATTGTTTGACGTCATCACAGTTTTGAACGGATTTTTAGAACAGATAAGTGAAGTTAAAAATGCAATTTTCAGCTGAGTGTATTATCTTAGCCCTCCCTTTTAAATGCAACTTTCAAATTACTTGACAAAAAATTACATCCTGACAAAAGTGGATTTCTGAGGGTGAAACCCCATTGACTCCCATTCATTCTGCACTCGACCGCGAGCGCCCCCTCATGTACAGACGTGTTACTGCAGCCAGTCCAGAACCCGGAAGTAACCAGTCAGTGCCAATTCTCTTCAATTAGACATTCTCTGACAATACTGACATGACATATGAAGGTGTCAAATGACGGAGATCGCTGTCTCTGGGAAAAATAACGTTGCCGAATTGAAAATGGAACTACGTTTCGTTACCAAATTTTCAGTTGTAACGCGTTACACTACTTCACCCGAAAAAGTAGTTACGTTACTGTACAACGCTGAAAATAGCACTGCACATTACAAATATAGATTCAGTCAAGAGCGAGTTCATTTTCTCTTTGATTAGAGTTATTATAGAGATCGCAGAAATTATTAGTGCTGTCACTTTAAGAGCCGCAGACTTAATTGGTTTAAAGTCATACTGAAATGCTCACAGAGGAATCGATAAGAGGAACTGACATTTTTATTTTATAACAAGGATTCGATTCCCAACCCTAGTCTTTTGTTTTTAATTAAGCAAACAATACAAATATAAACAAGTACATAAAAAAATATATAAACCAATATAAATGTGAAAAAAGCAAGTATCGGACAAATAAACAAGTTGATGGCAAGCAAGATTGCATAATACAAGAGAAAACAAATGAGCCAACAAATATACAAACAACATAATAGACACATACACATCCATATATATGATGTTATTGCTGTCATTTATTACTCACTGATTAAAAGAGAGGAAAAAATATACATATATATACTGTATATACACAAAGACAAATACACACATACATATATATATACATATATACATGAATGTGTGATGTTATTGTATATATATATATATACACACACAGATAAATACACACATACATATATATATATATATATATATATATATACACTATATATACACATATATACATGAATGTGTGATGTTATTGCTGTCATTTATTACTGATTAAAAGATAGGAAAAAAAAAAAATATATATATACAGTATATACACACATACATATATACAGTATATATATATATATATATATATATATATACACACAGATAAATACACACATACATATATATATATATATATACACATATATACATGAATGTGTGATGTTATTGCTGTCATTTATTACTCACTGATTAAAAGAGAGGAAAAAAAATATATATATACAGTATATACACACACATATACATACATACCTACATACATAAAAAATGTTTAATAATAATAATAATAAAAAAAGGATATTTTTTCTGATACCTGTCCATCAGTTGGAAAAACAACAGACTGCCCCAAAAATAGCCGTCTTTGACATATCGAGCAGCTCAAAGTGTTTGTTCCAGATCCAGACACATGCTCTCTGGAGGCAACAGGCTAAGCGTACGCCATCCACGCAGAATAAAGCCCGTGCGATACGTGGGGAAAACAAAGTTGGTTGGAGGGTCTGATATTTGCATGGCTGATGGAGACGCGAGGGGAGGGTGTGCATGAAACCAAGCGGGAAGGTATTTTTAGAGCTGATGGAGGAAGTGGGAGATGTTTATGATTTCAGAGAGACTAGCTACTCCCTCCCCGAGGTTCTGCTTCACGCTTCCAGCTTTTGGCAGATCTGTCTCTATAGTCAACCTGGCAACAGCTCGCTTAGCACTGGAGACTGACACACACACACACACACACGACTTTCTGTCGTTGGGGGACGTTTAATTTAATATCCAACTATATTATTGATCAGTCTGCATTGACACCATTGTCACTGAGCTGCACGATGACATCACGGTTTTCTCCGAAGCAGCTATATATTCAGATGAAACTCGAAATATTAAAATATAAGTTCATTTATTTCAGTAATTCAACTTAAAAGGTGAAACTAATTTAAAGGTTAAACTAGCCTTTATTTGTTATAATTGTGATGATTATAGCTTACAGGTATGAAAACACCAAATTTAAAATTAGAATATTGTGAAAAGGTTTTCATATCTGTTTTGACGACCTGACGGCCAGACACATATGTATTAGGGGTGTAACGGTATACAAAAATCACGGCTCGGTACGTACCTCAGTTTTAAAGTCACACTTTGGTATGTTTTCGATACAGAAATGCCAGACTAATTTCCTATTTGTTAAAAGAAGTGAGTTTTCCTACATCTTTAAACTTTCAGGTTTAAAATAAGAGTCATCTTTGAAGGATCAATCACATTAAAAATAACATTTAAATATACTGTATATTTATGTGATATTTGAGTTTTGAAATGCTGGAAAAATATGTGTGAAGTAGCCTACTTGAAAGCACTATTCCAGCCAAACTGGTTCCAGTTAGTGTTACTATATTAAATAGGGCTGGGTAATAAATATCGATTTCTCGATATGAATCGATTCTCATTCTTACGAACCGATATCGATTCTTAAATCTCAAGAATCGATTAGTCATCCTGTTTCATTTGAATGAATGGATCATTGTATTGCGGCTGCGCGCATCCAAAAAATCGCAATAATCTTTGTCCTTTGTTACTATTGATATGAAACAAAGTCTCAATTTTCAAATTACGTCCATTTTCTTTGGAAATTCAAAAACATAAATAGTGTTTTGTCGCTGTGGCGTGAGATCGCTCTGGAGAAGCAGCAGCGCTGATCTCTCTTCCGGCTTAATAATACCAGTCACAGCGCCAAATAAACATGAATGAGCATCTGAAAGAGTGTTAAAGATAGAGTACAACTTATCCAAATCCGGATCACGTCACATTGATTCACTCAATCAGCGTTTCAACCGTGGAAAGACGTCAGTTAAACAGCTTGTAATCAATGTCATCGTCATATTTACCTCAGAAAACCCACATAAACTCGTTAGTCAGCTAGAAAAAATAACTCTAGAGAGGAGCATTTTGCTAAATATATACACCATATTACATATGCATTATAATCTTAATGTTATTCAATATTGAATGCATATTTGAGTTTTTATGACAGCCACCATTTAAATGTTTATATAATCTTCTTATTATAAAAATAAATTAAAGTGTAATTTAAGTGTTTGTGTAGCTACAAAACAGTTCATTATTACCTTCATATTAGGCTAATGAAGCCTATAGGCTACAACTAGACTCCCATAGTTTACAGCATTAGTTACGAGATTTGATTCCCTTGAGAAAAATGGCCATTTATTGTAACTGATATCCAAAATAATCGATATTGAATCGAATCGAATCGCAAGCTTGTGAATCGAAATCGAATCGAATTGTGAAATCTGTCTCAATACCCAGCCCTAATATTAAATCCATGGTGAATGTTGCTGGTCTGTGGACGTAAAGTATTTCTAGTTCATGTTTCTCCTGGTTTCCACATCAGCGCTGTCTGATCTAATAGAGATCTACGGTTAATAACGGAGAAATGTGAACGCTTCTCACTAGATCTCGCAGAATTCATACGAGTTGACCAATTCGCAAAATATGTACGATTTAGCAATGTATGAATTGTTACGATTTAGCCACTTTTTAATCATTCGTCGAATTCGTACGAGTTGGTCGTGAGATCGGATTGGAAACACCGACTCGTTGAACTATGCAATAACGACGGAACTTGCGACCAAAGTTGGCTAACGATGCTTTCGGGAATCGTTAAAAACGGTCTCCTTGTGGCGGACAGAAGGTCAAGCGCTCTGGACAAGCGCGTTAATAAACGTTCATTTGTTCAGCAAGGCATCTTATATCAGGAAATGTTTGTTGAAATGATCATTTTCACAGCAAAGACACATTTGGGAGCCGACTATGATGACAATAATGTTCATCTCATTCAACAAATAACCCGAGCCACCAAACACTGCTGAATGCATTAAAAGTTTTCAATTTTCTGATAAACGGTGTTGTGTAAGCGGCCCCTAAGTCAATAACTAATGATCTTTGCAATGGAAGTGAAGCTAGATCTATAGTCTAAAGCCAAAGCAATCTCTGTTACTTTAATTATCTCTGTAAAGCTGCTTTGAAACAATCTATATTGTTAAAAGCGCTGTATAAATGAACTTAACGTGCACAGGACCAAACTTTCTCTAAGCTGCGGTTTGGGCTCGTGTTTAGAGAAGCATTTTCTCAAACAGGGACTGAAAACTGCAACTCTTCCTTTGACCCATTTTCTTTAATGTGGCGAGTAAGGCAAACCTCGGCACGGCTGCGCTTCCTGACGGGTGTTTGTGTCGGTTCAGCAGGAGAATGCTCTCCTGGGGTGGGGATGAGACAGTCTCCCTGTTTGGGCTTTTTCCTTCCTTCCTTCCTGGACATCCTGGACTCAACAAAGGCCCTCACCTGAGCAGAGCATTGTGGGGGAATGTGGACGCACTTGAGGAGGAGTACAGATCCGAAACGCACCATCAAAGCATCATAGACTTGTATGGTACGTATTATGTTTGGATTTGATTTAAAAAAAAAAAAAAGCATTTGATAATTTGTTTTTTGAAGATTATTATATTTGATCACATAATGTATAATTGGAACTGGCCCACACTCAGCTGTTCTAAAAAATAGATAAAAAAAATTTCTTTTCAGAAATTATCATATTTTTTTAAATTACTAGTGAAATTAATGAGATTATTTATTTATTATAGAGTGTATATACTATATATATTATTTATTGAGTATATTATTATATATAATATATTTATTTATTTATTATATAGTTATTTATTATGATATTTATGTTTTTTATTTAATATTTTGTTTTTTTTAGGGGGTTTTATGTTACTTAATTATGCAGTAGTTATAATCCATTTATTCACTCTTTGAGCATAGACCTGAAAATTTAATTTCCAACTTAAACTTTCATAAATCTTTTGATCACAGACTGAAGTTTGTTATCTTGTTAAAGAAGACACTTGGCAGATTATTGCTGAACTGAAGTAACAAAAATACACTCTAAAAATTGCTGGGTTGTTTTAACCCAACTTTGGGTCAAATATGGACAAACCCAAATTTTTTATTACATTTTTAACCCAATGTTTGGGTTTTGTCCATATTTGACCCAGCACTTTTAGAGTGTATGTGTACATTTATTGCTATGGAAAAATGCACAAAAATACTTTTACATGAAATACATATTTTTCAAAACACATTTTACTCTATTAACTGAGACAATGATAGACATAAATCTAAGCAAGTTGTGTTGGTTGATATCTCAAATTTTAGGTTGATATCTCAAAACAATGAGCTTTGAGCCGCAGTACCAAACGCTTCCACTAGAGGAAATTACTTTCCCATTCATTTTCAATGTGCTCATTTCTGACTGCGAACAATACAAGTTTGACTGTTAAGGACCATTTCACCTTTTCAAATCACATCTTTTTGTGTGTGTGTGTGTTTAGATAGCAAGTGCCGAAACCTTTACCAAGTTTCATACAATCCCGAAAAAGTTAAAAATCATAAAAAGCAAAACATAACATTTTTGACCAAAGAGCAACCGGAGGGTTAAAAAAGAAAAATCAGGGGAATATATAATCAATTATAAGTCCCCTTAATCAATTTAAAGTCCCATAGATTAATATTAAATACAATAATTTTCTAAAATAATTTGTACATATTTACTTAATATTTGGTAATATACTTCCCCAAACCACAGATTATTCTGAATTTTGGAAGAGCTGATTTTCTTGCCCTTTCCATAAAACATCCCTGTGTACATTTTTGTCTAAAACAAGAAATACAAATCATAATTGTGTTATTTATGCATAAATATAAAAAAAATCCAAAGAGAAAATACATTAGGATAGTTCCATTGTGGTTTTCAATATTTTCTGTATTGCTAATCATTTAGCAAAAACTACCAATTAATTTCTCAACGATGCAGCAAACCGAATCACGAATAAGAACTGAAATAAGTGAATAGAATAATTTAAGAGAGCGTTTCACACATGTGAACTGCATAAGGGAAGCGATTCAGGAAATAATGCCTTAATTTCTTTGCGCCTTCCAAAGACTTGTATATATGTAATTGTGTATATGAAGAGTTCAGATGCAAAAGCCTCTAAATGCCATTTGAAATTTTCTTCTTTAATGATGATTTTTATCAAACTTGTATATTTAAGTTCAGTAATTTCACTTAAATAACAATTAATAGGTAATTATCATTGCCATTTAAGTGAAATCACTGAACTTAAATTTACAAGTTTGATAAAAATCGTAATTAAAGAAGAAAATTTCAAATGGCATTTAGAGGCTTTTGCATCTGAACTCTTCATATATACACTCTCAGAAAAAAAGGTACAAAAGCTGTCACTGGGGCGGTACCTTTTCAAAAAGGTACACTTTTGTACCTAAAGGGTGCATATTGGTACCATAATTGTACAAATATGTACCATGAAGGTACCAATATGCACCCTTTAGGTACAAAAGTTTACCTTTTGAAAAGGTACCGCCCCAGTGACCGCTTTTGTACCTTTTTTTCTGAGAGTACTCCACTGTTACTTTTGGGTGAAGATGCACAAACACCATGTTTTATGTTTTACTCTGAGGACGCATTTGCCGGGTAAGGAGAAACAAAATGTCAGCGCATAATTTAGACAAAATTCGGGGTTAATTGGTGCCTTGGGAAAGCGTTCCTATTCAAGCTCTGACCGGCTTGTGTTTCGGCCACTGTTTATTAATAATACAGGGAGCCATATATAATAACAGCCACAGATTTAGCCTCGTCTCTTTAAAATCACAGGGAGGAGGGACACTTTCTCGCTCTTTTGTTCGGATGAACCTGGAGCAGCGTCCGCTAGCGTCCAAGGTCTCGGCACACACACGCTGAAGCCCAGACGCGGCGGATGCGATCGCCATGGGAACGGGCCCCTTGACAACGATTTCATCCCCACGAGAAGAAAAGAGAGCAATATCTCTCTCCCTTTATTCGCTTTCTTTGAGATCCTCTCTCATATTCTCTTTCTCTCTCGTCTTTCCTTTGAATTCTAATTTCTTTCATTTTTCAAGACAAATATAATTTTCTTTATTAAATAGCTGTGATGGTGGAAATATGTGACTGTCCAAAAGTGATATTTGTTTTTAATGAGTCTACAAGTTCGATTACACCGTTAAAAACAAAACATTATACTTAAGGTATTTATCTGATAAAATAAATAAAAAATGCATTGAAAAACAAAAAGCTGGCAGGATGCATTGACTATAACATATTTAGATATTAAGATATATATTAAATCTTGTATTTGCATGTTATCATTACAAATAAAACAAACGACTCCAAGCACAACTATGCAAGATGCTTACAAAATATGAATAATATTTTTCGATTTTTTTATGTGAATATTATTTTAATTTTCCTGTCCGCTACTGTGATTATGAATAGACGGGATGCTTTATATTATTTGTGCATAAACAAAGAAACAACAACTTCGGAAGCGTTTAATGCAGAGCATCAGTTCACACGTGTGCTTTGTTTTAAATTATTTATCTGTTTTATAATATTAGTTTTATTGTTTTGAGTCTTTTGCATGTCATGTGACCTGAAATGAAAAAAAAAAAACCTGAAAGGCTCTACACAGACACAAATATTACTCTATTCAGCCCAAAATATGCATTACAACAATGTTGCATAATATATCAAAATCTGTCTTTGGTTACAAAAAAAAAAATATATATAATAAAATATTAAAATATAATATAATAAATATATAAACACAAAATAAATTGATAAAAATACATGCAAAAAATATTTGCTATGCTTTTTTCCATTGCTATCGCCCACCCATAGTATCATATTTATTTATTATTATTTATTTATTTTATTATCTTTTTAAAGTTGATGTAAATATGATGAATTTAAAGGCTTGTACAGATTAACCAAAATGCTTCGTATTGCCTTGTCATGTGTAACTACATATTGCTCGAAATAAACAAATAAATAAAATAAATAAATAATAAAATAAATAATCTGATCTTCAGGTTTATGTCCTAAAATTACCTCAAGTATTTAATTCATTGTATTATCCTAAAAAAGAATGCATTACATACATGTTGACATTTGAATAAACAATTTTATAATGAGAAAAAATAAACATATTTTGACTACACTTGCCATAAAAGAAGAACTGAAGAGTTCAGATGCAAAAGTCTCTAATTGCCATTTGAAATTTTCTTCAAGAATGTTAATTTTGATCAAGCTTGTATATTTAAGTTCAGTAATTTCACTTAAATGGCAATGAAGATTACCTATGAATTGCCATTTAAGTGAAATTACTGAATTTAAATATACAAGCTTGATAAAAATGATTATTCTAGAAGAGAATTTCAAATGGCACTTAGAGGCTTTTGCATCTGAACTCTTCAACTGTGTGTTCCCAAAAGAACTTCCTAAAAGAAAGAAAAGAACATTTTGTGCAATGAAAATATTCCATGGAATCTTTCAAGTTCTTCATGGAACCATCAAAGCCAATAAAGAAGTTTATTTTTAAAAACGAATGATAATTTGATCAAACACCCTCCCCAGCGCCCATATGGGCGACAGCATGTTGTGCGAAGTGAATGTGCTGAAGAAAGCATTCTTAAAGCAAAACTGCACTTTACCGGTGTGATCTACTGTACATGCACTTCTCTATTAAACAAACGTGTGTTTTCCTGCAGTAATTTGTACAGTAATCTAATTACATTGTTGAAGAGGTAATTAGTAACTAGTAATTAATAACTTTTTTGCAGTAACTTACCCAACACTGTATATGGGAAGCATATGAAGAGTTCAGATGCAAAAGCCTCTAAATGCCATTTGAAATTTTCTTCTTTAATGATGATTTTTATCAAACTTGTATATTTAAGTTCAGTAATTTCACTTAAATAACAATTAATAGGTAATTATCATTGCCATTTAAGTGAAATCACTGAACTTAAATATACAAGCTTGATAAAAATGATCATTCTAGAAGAAAATTTCAAATGGCACTTAGAGGCTTTTGCATCTGAACTCTTCATATGCTTCCCATATACAGTGTTGGGTAAGTTACTGCAAAAAAGTTATAAATTACTAGTTACTAATTACCTCTTCAACAATGTAATTAGATTACTGTACAAATTACTCTCTCTAAAAAGTATTACTAATTACTTTCAAAATCCCATTTCAATCTCAACCAGCTGAATAATACAAGAATAGACATGAATCTGTTTTAATTCTTTCAAATAAATACTATAAAATTGCATGAATTATCCTTAAACTGACCAGGGTGGAGAAGGTTACATTATAAAAACATACTTTTTACAATCAGACAGTACATTTTGATGTTAAACTCACTATTGTTTTATGTCTGACCTCATGACATTTCACGCTTTTTTCATAGATATTTTACAATAATTACGTACGAATTCATTTGTACGAGTGCGGTCGTACGACCTCATAAAATGCATACGAATCGCTGTGAGATCGGATTGAATTTGCCTCAATTACATCAGAAGTAACTGTAATTAAATTACAGATAAATGAAGAGTAATCCCTTACTTTACATTTTCAAGGGAAAAGTAATTAAATTACAGTAACTAATTACTTAGTAATTAGTTACACCCAACATTGCCCATATACACCACCATTCAAAAGTTTTGGGTCGGTAAGTATCGTTTTTGTCTTTCTTTTAGCGAGTGGATGTGTCTCGAAGATGTTTTATTGTGTGGCCTGTTAAACAGAGAACGTGTGTTTTCCTGCAGCGTTTGCATATTTCCCGCTTTGACTGTTCTCTGTTGTGTTTAGGCATCGCCAGAGGCTTGAATGCATGTGGCAGAAGCTCGGGAAGAACCTAATCTTCACGCGTAATCCCTTCAAAGTGGCACCTCGCGCAGGAGAAGAACACAAATCAGCATTCATCTTCCATCAAGTGCGTTTCATGTCCTCCAGCAGCGCCGCCGCCGAGGAGAAGTGCACCGCCAGCGAATGTGACATCTGATTTGTAGGCTGTCTAATCACAGGAGAAGGTGAACATCTTCTCTGCGCCTGTCCCGACTCTACGTTTGAGTAAAGGTACAATACCATTCAGATGCACGTCCAATTATCTAAATGAGGTTTAATTGAGCGCTAGAGAGGGCTCTCTGTCCTAATTAGGTTAGCAAAATATTGTGCCTAATGCGCATTAATCATATTCCTGACACACCAGCCAAGCTGCCGATGATGATACAGAATATTATCGACAAATTATAACTTATTATAGATTCATATTCTCATGTAATCTCAAAGTTTCAGGAGAGATCTGCGCCGTAGTACGCCCTAAAAGTATGTAGTGTTTTTGTGGAGAAAAAGTATTGAGTGTGTAGATAATAATTTCATATTTTGATTCATAATTTCAACAATCACAGTTAAAATCCTCCACATTCACTGTAAAAAGTTATTGTTGGTTACCAATTTTGAGTGTTGAAATTAAACATTTGAGTTCAGTTTAAATAACATTCACTCAAACTATTATGTTTTCTGAACCAAAAGATAAAAAAATTTATTAATTTATTATTTTTTTTAATTTTCATTATGATAATTCATCATTATGCAAACGCATCGTTATAAAAGTTCACAGTGCAGATGAAATATGATGTGGATAACATTGAATAGATTTCTTTTTGGCAGTTTAGATGCTGATTATTAATTACTCAAACCACGTTTTTTTAGCCGTTTTCATGGATCTGTGTGAACAGGGATCGTTTTGATAACGTTTCCATTTATAGTACATCATTATCGTGTAATCGTTCCCTTAGACACCTCAAACACACGTACAGTATAAACACCAGCATCGCGTCTGCAACTTTTGCACACCACTCATAATGTTTTCCGAAATTGAGAAGTAAAAATGAGCTGATAAAATGTTCCAGCTGATGCACATATGACACTGAGGAGCGGGTACGCGTGGGGTCGAAGGGCACGAGGCCGTGATATGATGCACAGACTCCTCCAGGACAACAGCGGCTCTGTGTGTCGATTCCTCAGGCGTCTGGAACTGATTAAAGACAGTTTGCCTTCTCTCGTTCTTTTCTTAAAGGGCGTTCACACTGACAGACATTTGCGTCCGTAAGACATTCATTTACAAGGAGAGTTGGCAATATGAGTGACAGCTGGACCGCCTACTAGCAACTGTAGATTAGCATACTAACACTCTTTCAGTATTTATTATGCATGCTGTGTACAGTGTGCACATTTTCTATTGGTATGTGTGGAATACTTTACAAAATGTGCAGTACACAACAGAGTATACAACAATGCAATGCGCTCGACTTGGTTTTTAACCCGTTCTTGACTTGTTATTTGATCAGTAAGCTGTAAAATGTATAAAAAGCTTCTTTTTTTTTCTAAGATGATGCGATTTAATGTTACAAAAATGTTTAAAAAACAGTGTTGTTATTGCTAAAAAAACGATTAAAATAATGCTGAAGCTAAATATAATAATAATATTAGATGCCAAACTTTGAAATGTTGCCTTGGTAAGTAACCAGAATAAATCAGTCTAAGCTAAAGTGCTAAAATGGCTAAAACTGAAATAAAAACATATTAAAGCTACATATTAATATTTAAGCACATACAATTACTAAAACTTAAACCAATTTAAAATGAAAACTCAAAGCTAATTCATTTATTGTTTTATTACTGTTATAGTATATAGATAAAAACACGTATTGTTGCGTAATGTATATGATAATTTTTTTAAACCATAAACTAACATTCCCTGTGATTTTTGTACAAAATCATGGTTTAAAAGTTTATTTGCAAGTTTTATTTCTGTCAATAAGGAACTAACGTTGACGAATGACAGGAAATGTCGTTGAACACGCAATTATATATATAAAAATATATAGCTACATATAGTTTCATGTAGTTCTTCTCCCTCGCTGTATTATGGATTTGCTATGTGGGGAGAAATGTGCTGGTTACGTTTTTGACATAATCAGCTGATTACTATTATTATATTATATATTAAGACCCTTTGCTTTGTAAACTGTATCCATGATGTGGTTTAATAATGGACTGTGGTACAGAAACAGTGACAATGTTACACACTCTTGTCTTACTCTGGCTATTCTCTGCTGTCTCAGACGACGAGATGTTTGTCCCGTTTGAGCCACTGTAGCTTCTTCGAAAAGGAGGGGTGAGCAGTGGGCGAAGCCCTTAGTGCAAACTCACAACCGAACCTCTAGATGGCGCTAAAATCACACACTGCACCTTTAAAAAAATGTTTTACATTTTTTTTTTCTGGACTCAATGAACGAACGAACCAAAAAAACTAGACCAAGATGGCGGCTCTATTGACGCATTCATTCCAATGAACTGCCATAGCCAAGGCGACATCTAGTGTATATATCTATGCTGTAGACTGCGCTAATAAATACAGGCAATAGACATTGACATCGATACTCTGGCGTAATAACGTGTTTGCGTTTGGTGAACTGTGGAGCAGTGTTGTAGTACTCTAGACTCGGACTCGTCTCGGACTCTTGGTCTTGTCATGGACTAGTGTGCATTTGGACTCGGAATTGACTCGTACTCGAACATTTTTTTTTTTTAGGACTCGGACTTATTCCCAAGTCCACTCGAGTTCAATTAAAAATATTTTTCATGATTATTAATGTATGTTAATAAAATATTTCTTTAAATTGATTGACACGCCCAGTGATTGGTGATTTTCTAGTGCGCAACTGCACATGACAAATTGTAATAAAATTACTTTTAACACCACCTACTATGTGGCCTTTTTACCCTAAACTGATCATATTTTTTAAGTCTAAGTAAATTCAGTAAAAAAAAAAAGGATTTCTCTAAGTAAATAAAAGTAAATTCGGTAATCAACCCTCACTGGTCTCGGTCTCGACTCGGACTCGACTCTCTATGGTCTCGGTGTCGGCTTGGACTTGACTCTCTATGGACTCGGACTCGACTCGGACTCGACTCTCTCTGGTCTCGGTGTCGGCTCGGACTCGACTCTCTCTGGTCTCGGTCTTGACTCGGACTCGACTCTCTATGGTCTCGGACTTGACTCGGACTCGACTCTCTATGGTCTCGGTGTCGACTCGGACTCGACTCTCTATGGACTCGGACTCGACTCGGACTCGACTCTCTCTGGTCTCGGTGTCGGCTCGGACTCGACTCTCTCTGGTCTCGGTCTCGACTCGGACTCGACTCTCTATGGTCTCGGACTTGACTCGGACTCGACTCTCTATGGTCTCGGTGTCGGCTCGGACTCGACTCTCTATGGTCTCGGTGTCGGCTCGGACTCGACTCTCTATGGACTCGGACTCGACTCGGACTCGACTCTCTCTGGTCTCGGTCTTGACTCGGACTCGACTCTCTATGGTCTCGGTGTCGGCTCGGACTCGACTCTCTATGGTCTCGGTGTCGGCTCGGACTCGACTCTCTATGGACTCGGACTCGACTCGGACTCGACTCTCTCTGGTCTCGGTCTTGACTCGGACTCGACTCTCTATGGTCTCGGTGTCGGCTCGGACTCGACTCTCTATGGTCTCGGTGTCGGCTCGGACTCGACTCTCTATGGACTCGGACTCGACTCGGACTCGACTCTCTCTGGTCTCGGTGTCGGCTCGGACTCGACTCTCTCTGGTCTCGGTCTTGACTCGGACTCGACTCTCTATGGTCTCGGTGTCGGCTCGGACTCGACTCTCTATGGACTCGGACTCGACTCGGACTCGACTCTCTCTGGTCTCGGTGTCGGCTCGGACTCGACTCTCTCTGGTCTCGGACTTGACTCGGACTCGACTCTCTCTGGTCTCGGTGTCGACTCGGACTCGACTCTCTCTGGTCTCGGACTTGACTCGGACTCGACTCTCTATGGTCTCGGACTCGACTCTTTATGGACTCGGACTCGACTCGGACTCGACTCTCTCTGGTCTCGGTGTCGACTCGGACTCGACTCTCTCTGGTCTCGGTGTCGACTCGGACTCGACTCTCTCTGGTCTCGGTGTCGACTCGGACTCGACTCTCTCTGGTCTCGGTGTCGGCTCAGACTCGATTGAGGTGGTCTCGACTACAACACTGCTGTGGAGTGGGTAACACTGTTTTTAATGGCAGGCTAGCAGTTACCATTGACTCGCGCTAGCCTAGCACCGCCAAACTATGCAACTTGAACGACTGAATGAACATCTTCACTGATAAATAACACAAAAATCAGTGTCCAAAATCCCTTTAAACCAATGAGTCAAACAACAAATCAGATTAAACTGATGAATCTTCATTTCATGCTGACTTTAAACATCAGGCATCTTCAGGTTGTTCTTCATTACGCAGCATTTTTGGCTTCCTGTGTATTTTTCAGAAAGTCTTGTTTAATGAGAAATTGATCAAAATGAAGTGACTTTATGCTTAAAGCAAGAACAAATAAATTCCTGGGTTGTTTTAACCCAACCTTGGGTCAAATATGGACAAACCCAGCCATTGGGTTACATTTTTTTAATTACATTTTTAACCCAATGTTTGGGTTTGTGCATATTTGACCCAAAGTTGGGTTAAAACAACCCAGCATTTTTAGAGTGCCAATTATTCAAAAAATAAAAATAAAAAAACACAGAATTTAAATGGGAAAACAAGTTTATTTCCCTGACCGCGTTGGCAATGCTCAAACATTAAAACAAGACTTAATATGGTAAGTCATTCGTGGTGCTTCTTAGTTTAAGAATATTTCGATATATTACTGTGAAAAAAACATAAATAAGTAAATCCAACTGATATAAAGTGCTGAGGAAACACGGTCCGGTGTGTATCTTCCCGTCAGCATCACACTCATTACATGTGACTCAAACTAAAGCACTGGTCTGTGAGATAGGCTTTATGAGGAGCGTGTGCGTGTGTGTGTGTGTGTTAATGGTTAAAGACGTTCATCATTTCACAGTGGCAAACTTGTGGCTTGTGGCTTCCCATGATTGATTCTTTATCGCCTGCACAGTTGGAGTGTTAACTTTCCTCACAGACAGATGAGAGAGAGACAGATAGACAGACAGAGAGAGAGAGAGAGAGAGAGACGGACGGATCGGTTTTACCTGTTGTGAAGGTTTTGACACACTGCAAGTTTGAGTCAGCGATCCACAGGAATAAAGGCAAGAGCGCTGCTACGGTTCCCGTTGGATGTGACGGCACAATAATAATCAGAAGAAGAAGAGCAAGGATCCCCGGATCAGTCCTCCTGCGACAGGCGGCTCACGGAGCGCAGAACACACACTTCATGTGCTGCCGTTAGGTCATGCTCAAAGTATGTGTGTGTGCAACGCAATGTTCTGCAAGCTCAGAGAAAAACCACATCCTCTGACAGGCTCCTCTAACCTTCTCCTGTCTCTCTCTCTCTCTCTCTGACTGTGTGAGATGACCCAGACACAGTTCACTCCCTCGCTCGCTCGCTCGCTCTCTCTATCTCTCGCTCTCGGCTTCTTCAGCAACAGACTCAGTTCCTGCCCACCAACTGAAGAATCTGAAGACTGAGGAGGAGGAGGTGCTGAGAGCGAGCGAGAGAGGGGCGAGAGAGAGAGAGAGAGAGAGAGAGAGGGGGGAAGCCGTTCTTTTAGAAATTACAGTCAAATAAAAAGCAGCAGTAAGAATGCAGCGTGAGGATCGAAAGAGCGTAGAAATAATTCAGCTCTAATATCTCCAAGACCACAACGAGATTAAACGGAGAGCAAATTAGTTTAAAGGATCTTACAGCCGTTCTCATGACCTGCACGACTGGAAACAACACACACACACTCTCTCTCACACACACGCACACACACAGTATATATTAAGCAAACTTACAGAATTTATTACGTCTGGGTTAATGGTGAATTTATCAAATAAAGAAAGTTTATGCTTAAAACATCAAAAATGTTATCAGATATCAGATATTTTTTCTTGTTTTAAACAATCGTTCTTGTTTTCAGCATAAACTCACTTCATTTTGATTTATTTATATCATTAAACGAGACCGCACATCTTCAGTCATGTATAAATGCTTCTTGATTCAAGAATGTTTCGATATTTTTACTGGAAAACAATCAGCAGGAATAAAGTACTAAAGTGCTCAATTCTTAAAGAAGAAAGACAACGGTTGAAAATGGAAACGAAACCCATCCAAAATTCAGCTTTATCGTCAGACTCATAAATCACATTTTAAAAATAGATTAAATTAGAAAACAGGCTTTAAAGTGTAAATTTTTTTTTTTTTTCACAATATTTACTGTGTTTTTATCAAGCAAATGCAGCCTTGGAGAAACTTCTTTAAAAATATTTAAAAATCATACCGAACCCAAACACTATAATATAATATAATATAATATAATATAATATAACATAATATAACATAATTTAATATAATATAACATCATTTAATATAATATAACGTAATTTAATATAATTTAATATAATATAATATATGACGCAAGATTAGGTCACTATTAACTTACTATTAACTCTTGACTCTGAATTATTGCTTACTAGTGCTTTATAAGTTCTAATAAACAAACTGTGTGTATTTATATATACAAAGTAATTATACGCAGTACACTCACATGTATTATGTAAACACAAACTTTTATTTTGGATGTGATTAATTGCGATTAATCGTTGCCCAGCACAAATATATATATATATATATATATATATATATATATATATGAAGAGTTCAGATGCAAAAGCCTCTAAATGCCATTTGAAATTTTTTTCTTTAATGATGATTTTTATCAAACTTGTATATTTATGTTCAGTAATTTCACTTAAATAACAATTAATAGGTAATTATCATTGCCATTTAAGTGAATTTACTGAACTGAAATATACAAGTTTGATAAAAATCATCATTAAAAAAGAAAATTTTAAATGGCATTTAGAGGCTTTTGGATCTGAACTCTTCATATATATACTGTATATACGGTACTTTCCGGGGTGTAATCTAAAGCATTACCGAAACAATAAACATGAGCGCAACAAGAGCAATTTTGTGAATCTTGAGGAACACACTAACATTTAGTCAGAACTTTGAAATGAAACTGTGCATGCTTCTTCACCATGTTATGACACATATGCTCATCAATTTTTGTGAAGTTCTGAGTTTTCCTTTAGGATTTATATGCTTTTGGGTGCATTTTGTCCCGCCCCTTTCGTAAATGACCCTATTACAGCAAAACAAATGCAAAATTTCAACTTTTTTTCGATAATTTTTGATCTAGGGAGTCCAGAGAATAGGCCTAGACTGGTTTGGTTCCGATCGGGCACAAAAACAGGGACTAGTTCGCAAAAGTAGGTTTTTAACATATTTGTGAATATTTAATGAACGATTTGATTGACAGCATTGGTTCTAGAGGGAAATTTGTTCAGCATGAGGAGATCTATCCAATGATATGTGTGTTGTGGGGATGGGTGCAACACCACATGATTACAGAGCCATAAAACTCGTTAGCGCCAACTAGTGGCCGATTTCTTTCAAAACTCTTATGGAAGAAACAAGGACTTTGTCATAATGTTGTTAAAGGAAAACACCGGTGGTTCTTGTGAAGGCAGTGCTCCAGACTGAGTGTGTGAGATGGAAGATCTCAATGTGCAGATATGGAAGTATGCAATATAAATATGAGAGTGTGTGATCTCAGAAGAGTCAGATCCATATTCTCGTTCGTATGAAAACGGGTTTCTCTTTTGTTCCTATTGTAGGACTTTTAAACCGATGTCTCCGGAGCAATGAAAGCGTGACCTCTGATCGCTGGGGTTCCCCTCTGGGGCGTGAGTGTGTGTGTGTGTGTGTGTGTGTGTGTGTGTCTGACGGTCCCGGCACTGAGATGTATTTTTCATAAAGCCCTGTCTCGACCCCCTATTGCTGCCAATACATTATTCAGAGCTGAAGGGACACACACACACACACACACACCTAAATCACACCATAATCACTGTCGTCTCATCCAGCACATCTCCGTGATGAAAATAACACACCAGCGTTTCATCAGGAGTCTGTGTTTTCATGTGAGGTGTTGTGTTGAGGCGTTGGAGATGATTGACAGCTGTTGATGGTGTTTTTATGCACAGTAGACGCGACCTCTGACCTCAGGACACAAACTAATGACACGAGCTCGCATCAAAGAACACGAGTGTTTCTGAAACAGGAAGTCCTCGTGGCGAGAGATGTGTGTGTGAAGTGCAATCACGGCACTATCATCATGACGGATATGCTGAATTATTGATCAAATACTTGATACTTGACGATATAAGACTTTCTTTGTGGTTCTATGTGTGTATTATATGTTTACATGTGTATGTACTTCTAATACTATGTGTGTGTGTATATATATATATATATATATATATTAGAATATAATTATGTCTAATATAGTCTAAAATGTAGTGTTTGTATTTTATTTATGTATTTAATACTATATTTTTATAATATAACATAATATTATGTATAATAATAAATATAATGTTATAAAATATGTAATAGGCCTATTAAAATTTTATTTATTTTTTTTAATATTTGAAAAAAAATTATAAAATATTTATTAGTATTATAATTTGGACATTCACCAAGATAGCTGTATTAAAAGTTAAATTGTGTTTTTAAATACTAGATTTATAACTATAACTGGAACTAGATTTATATATGTTTTGTAAAATATTCTAAATTGTAAAATTTGACATATATTCTATATAACTATGTAATATGTAATAACTAAGCTGAATTTTAAGGTCATCAAGTAAAGCAAATTAACATAAGTGATGAAACAATTGGAACTAATTAGAAAAGAAAACAGTCTCAGACTTTTTGGACAAAACAAACAGTGTTGGATATGTCAACCGAGTGTGTGTGTGTGTGTGTGTGTGTGTGTGTGTCACTGAAGAGGAACGAGTGAACGTCCCACTGTGTAATTACACTGTGTTTACAGCGGACTAATCACTGCGTAATCCCTGACAAAAGAAGAGACAACACTCAACACTTCACTAACTACAGCACTGTTAGAGGAAAACTAAGTGCAGTATAGCAGAAGACCAATAAACACACACACACACGAGATGCTCTCATGCTCTCTTCATCTTAGTCAATATAACAGAGATCAACCCATCAGATATTGGCATCTATATTATTATAGATGTCTTCCAAAGCTTACATACATATACAATCTTGTGATATTGTAGTTGATCAGCAGCACTGAACACACTGTGTTAGAAGAGCTGTTCAGAGAACACACACCTTTACAAACTGAATCAAACACTCCATATGCAACACAACCTCGAGAAGAGGAGATCCTGAGACTGGAGCCACTGCGCCACCTACTGGCCAAACTGGCATTCACTTCATTACAGAATATGAAGGATTATATTGTAAGATTAAAGTATTTTAGACTATCATAAAATAGATAGATAGGTAGGTAGACAGACATATAGAAATATTGACCGATAGATAAACAGACTGATAGATAGATAGACAGATAGGTAGACAAATAGGTAGGTAGATATATAGATAGAGAAATAGATAGATAGATGGAAATATAGATAGATGGAAATATAGATGGATGGACGGATGGATATAGATGATAGATAGATGGAAATATAGATAGATAGACAGAAATATAGATAGATAGATGGAAATATAGATGGATGGAAGGATGGATAGATAGATAGAAATATAGATAGATGGAAATATAGATGTATGGATGGACGGACAGATAGATAGATGGATAGATGGAAATATAGACAGACAGATAGATAGAAATATAGATAGATGGAAATATAGATGATAGATAGATAGATAGATAGATAGATAGATAGATAGATAGATAGATAGATAGGTTTGTTCTGTAAATGTCATGTATATACTGGAGAGAGGGGTTGTTCTCAGTAACGCTCATAAAGCCGTCGTCGTTACTGCATCAGAATAACGAGCTGATCCGCGGCTCTGGAATCAATAGTTCATGATTTAAAAAGAGTCACTGCAATAGAAAGTCAGATTACACACAATTGCATTATTAAAAAAACCTCCTCGTGACGCTTTACTGTTCTCATCTGCTGTAAAGTAAATGTCTTTACTTGTCCAGGTCAAGCTGGAGGTTATTATTCTATGAAACTGTCAGAAATCCTGTGTTTGCTTGATGAGGTCAGGACACAATAGCAGACGTCACGCTCTGACGGGCCGACTGCATGTGGGAGATGGAGAACGGGTAAAGTCTACAGTTTCTATTTTATTCTCATAATAGAAAGCGTAATCTTTATGCTTTAACTATACGGTCTGGTCTATTGCCACGTTGTCAACTCAATTTATCATTGTTGCTTTGTTTGCAGGTTCTTTAGACATCTTGCCTCGGGTAATTCATGCTGTTCTTAAAACTCAAACTGTGTTTACACTCTCATGTTTGCCTCGACTATTAACCTGAGGTTTTGTATTGTTTTGTGAACACATTGCTCAAGTGGTGTCACATGACTCCGGGGACATCATGGGAACGGGATGAGATGCTGGGAATATAAAAAGATAAGTGACCGCGACATCTCAGACGTCTCGACTCGTACGGGCAGGTGAGGATCATGATGATTAAAAATAACTACAAAATATTTTTTTTTAATTGGAATCTGAGCTTCTTTCTGACACCTTTACTTTGAAAAATATTTAGATAATATTTAGATATTTATTTTTTACAAAAATATATTTTTATATATTTTTTTTAAATTTAATTAAATATATATTTCTGCAGTCTTGTTGGACGGAAGGACACACAATGTTTGCAGTGATAGTTTGTATCTTGGGATTGCTCCGTATGAGCAGCTCCTGCAGTTGGGTGAGTTCACATTTAATAAATTACTGTTTTGCTCATGATACTGTAACTTATTTGCTGTAAGTTACTGTACGTCACCAGTAAAAAAAAAAATCTCTGTTTCCAATTATCTTAAAATGTTTCAGTCTTAAAGCTTCTGCTTGAAATGAGTTCTGTAGACAAATATAAATTGCACTGAAATTTCCTCACAAAACTACTTAGAAATGAATGATTTGGAGCAGATAGTGAAACTATAAAAGAAGCGCCACATAATAAAACATTTTAAAAGATAATTGCGACTTTTTATCTCACAATTGCGTGTTATAAAGTCAGAATTGCAAGACATAAACTCAAATCTGCTTTTTTCACTCACAATTTCAACTTTTTATCTCATAATTCTGACAACTTTTCTCACAATTGTAAGATATAAACTAAGTTAAAAAAAAACAAATTCTAAGGAAAAAAGTTTTTTCCCCCCAGAATTGCGAGTTTCTATCTCACAAATTTGACTTTATATCACACAATTATGAATTTATATCACACAATTATGTCTTTACAACACACAATTGACTTTATAAAACACAATTATGACTTTATAACATGCAATTATGACTTTTGTAAGTTAAAAAAATCAAATTCTAAGGAAAAAAGTTTTTTTCCCCAGAATTGCGAGTTTCTGTCTCACAAATTTGACTTTATATCACACAATTATGACTTTACAACACACAATTGACTTTATAAAACACAATTATGACTTTACAACACACAATTGAGTTTATAACATGCAATTATGACTTTACAACACACAATTATGACTTTATATCACGCAATTATGACTTTATATCACGCAATTATGACTTTATAAAACACAATTATGACTTTATAACACAATTATGACTTTATACCATGCAATTATGACTTTTGTAAGTTAAGAAATCAAATTCTAAGGAAAAAAGTTTTTTTCCACCAGAGTTTCTATCTCACAAATTTGACTTTATATCACACAATTATGACTTTACAACACACAATTGACTTTATAAAACATAATTATGACTTTATAACACGCAATTATGACTTTATAAAATGCAATTATGACTTTATAACACACAATTATGACTTTATATCACGCAATTATGACTTTATAACATAATTATGACTTTATAACACACAATTATGACTTTATAACACGCAATTATGACTTTATAACATGCAATTATGACTTTTGTAAGTTAAGAAATCAAATTCTAAGGAAAAAAGTTTTTTCCCCCAGAATTGCGAGTTTCTATCTCACAAATTTGACTTTATATCACACAATTATGACTTTACAACACACAATTGACTTTATAAAACATAATTATGACTTTATAACACGCAATCATGACTTTTTAAAATGCAATTATGACTTTATAACACACAATTTTGACTTTATATCACACAATTATGACTTTATAAAACACAATTATGACTTTATAACACACAATTATGACTTTATATCACACAATTATGACTTTATAAAACACAATTATGACTTTATATCACACAATTATGACTTTATAATACACAATTATGACTTTATAACATGCAATTATGACTTTTGTAAGTTAAAAAAATCAAATTCTAAGGAAAAAAGTTTTTTTCCCCAGAATTGCGAGTTTCTGTCTCACAAATTTGACTTTATATCACACAATTATGACTTTACAACACACAATTGACTTTATAAAACACAATTATGACTTTACAACACACAATTGAGTTTATAACATGCAATTATGACTTTACAACACACAATTATGACTTTATATCACGCAATTATGACTTTATATCACGCAATTATGACTTTATAAAACACAATTATGACTTTATAACACAATTATGACTTTATACCATGCAATTATGACTTTTGTAAGTTAAGAAATCAAATTCTAAGGAAAAAAGTTTTTTTCCACCAGAGTTTCTATCTCACAAATTTGACTTTATATCACACAATTATGACTTTACAACACACAATTGACTTTATAAAACATAATTATGACTTTATAACACGCAATTATGACTTTATAAAATGCAATTATGACTTTATAACACACAATTATGACTTTATATCACGCAATTATGACTTTATAACATAATTATGACTTTATAACACACAATTATGACTTTATAACACGCAATTATGACTTTATAACATGCAATTATGACTTTTGTAAGTTAAGAAATCAAATTCTAAGGAAAAAAGTTTTTTCCCCCAGAATTGCGAGTTTCTATCTCACAAATTTGACTTTATATCACACAATTATGACTTTACAACACACAATTGACTTTATAAAACATAATTATGACTTTATAACACGCAATCATGACTTTTTAAAATGCAATTATGACTTTATAACACACAATTTTGACTTTATATCACACAATTATGACTTTATAAAACACAATTATGACTTTATAACACACAATTATGACTTTATATCACACAATTATGACTTTATAAAACACAATTATGACTTTATATCACACAATTATGACTTTATAATACACAATTATGACTTTATAACATGCAATTATGACTTTTGTAAGTTAAAAAAATCAAATTCTAAGGAAAAAAGTTTTTTTCCCCAGAATTGCGAGTTTCTGTCTCACAAATTTGACTTTATATCACACAATTATGACTTTACAACACACAATTGACTTTATAAAACACAATTATGACTTTACAACACACAATTGAGTTTATAACATGCAATTATGACTTTACAACACACAATTATGACTTTATATCACGCAATTATGACTTTATATCACGCAATTATGACTTTATAAAACACAATTATGACTTTATAACACAATTATGACTTTATACCATGCAATTATGACTTTTGTAAGTTAAGAAATCAAATTCTAAGGAAAAAAGTTTTTTTCCACCAGAGTTTCTATCTCACAAATTTGACTTTATATCACACAATTATGACTTTACAACACACAATTGACTTTATAAAACATAATTATGACTTTATAACACGCAATTATGACTTTATAAAATGCAATTATGACTTTATAACACACAATTATGACTTTATATCACGCAATTATGACTTTATAACATAATTATGACTTTATAACACACAATTATGACTTTATAACACGCAATTATGACTTTATAACATGCAATTATGACTTTTGTAAGTTAAGAAATCAAATTCTAAGGAAAAAAGTTTTTTCCCCCAGAATTGCGAGTTTCTATCTCACAAATTTGACTTTATATCACACAATTATGACTTTACAACACACAATTGACTTTATAAAACATAATTATGACTTTATAACACGCAATCATGACTTTTTAAAATGCAATTATGACTTTATAACACACAATTTTGACTTTATATCACACAATTATGACTTTATAATACACAATTATGACTTTATATCACACAATTATGACTTTATAATACACAATTATGACTTTATAATACACAATTGCAAAAAAAGAAAAGAATTATGAGATAAAAAGTCGCAATTACCTTTTTTATTTTTCATTCTGTGGCGGAAACAAGCTTCCACAAAAACAGCTGGATTGGTGGTGTATATGAATAAAACACATCTGAGCATTATGGTCAATATTTATCAATGAATGAACAGTTATTATGTTATGTGATTAAATGATCTAACACAAATCTCCATCTCTTTTCTGCGGTGGGTTTCCAGCCAGGTAAGCATTGGTCACTATAATGCTTCAATAACTCTGTTTAATATGCATCATCTGGAAAAGCGTGCTGTTTTGCATCTTGCGTATGTATGTTTGGTTCACAGGCGTGTGTACAGACCTGACTTCTGTCCAGCAGGAGATCGTGGACGTACACAACGCCTTCAGGAGAGCTGTGGACCCGCCGGCCAGCAACATGCTCAAAATGGTCCATCACACACTTCTGATTGACATTTGCATTAAGCGTGCGTCTCCGAGTCTCTGAATGACCTCAGATCCTCTGTGTGTTTCAGAGCTGGAGCGACGCGGCGGCTCAGTCGGCTCGAGGCTGGATCGATCTGTGTAACATGACACACGGCCCACCAAGCAGCCGCATGATAGACGGTGTGTTACATCACAATTCATACACATATACACGTGAAAAAATTTGAATATCGTGCAAAAGTTCAGTAATTCAACTTAAAAGGTGAAACTAATATATTATATAGACTTATTACATGCAAAGTGAGATATTTCAAGCCTTTATTTGTTATAATAGTGATGAGGTTATGAAAACCAAATTCAAAATTAGAATATCGTGAAATATCTGTAAGCCATAATCATCAAAATTATAACAAATAAAGGCTTGAAATATCTCACTTTGCATGTAATGAGTCTATATAATATATTAGTTTCACCTTTTAAGTTGAATTACTGAAATAAATGAACTTTTGCACCATATTCCAACGTTTCGAGTTTCACCTGTATATATAATATTTTCAAGATTTGTTATCGCAACATATTTTCTTTTGTCAAATCAACTTTATAATAATTTATTTAGTTGAGATAACTTATTATTTTGAGTTTCTGATGAATATGGTGCAAAAGTTCAGTAATTCAACTTAAAAGGTGAAACTAATATATTATATATCCTCATTACATGCAAAGTGAGATATTTCAAGCCTTTATTTGTTATAATAGTTTACAGATATGAAAACCTTTTCACAATATTCTAATTTTGAATTTGGGATTTTCATATCTGTAAACTATTATAACAAATAAAGGCTCTTTGCATGTAATGAGTCTATATAATATATTACTTTCACCTTTTAAGTTTTGCATGATATTCAAATTTTTTGAGTACCACATATTATAAAGAATTGTAAGAATTGTAAAACAAATATAAATGCCATTTGCTTTATTTTATTTTTTTTTTTTTATCATTGCAGTGATATTTTTTTTTTTTGCCTTAAATGTCCAAATAAGTTGCAACCAAAGCAGTGTAGACCTGAGATAACAACATTTCTTTCATCCAACCCACATGTCTATAGACCTAATATTTATACAGGAGGATTGTGCAAGTGTGTGTCTGTGTTGACATGCCGACTAACACATGCAGATGAAGAGATGAAAGTGACCGTCACGTTTGCATGAACTACATCTCAATGTCTTCAGAACGGGACATTGAACAAAGAAATACAGCACCAATATGTATTGCTGTACACGTAACGAATATATCTTTTAAAACCATCGTAATTTCCTCTGTCTCAACCAACCTAGTCGTCCAGACACAATAATATTAGGAAATGAATCATTCCTCTGAATGTTTTCTCTCTGATGGACAGGATATGAATTGGGGGAAAATCTCTTCAAGGGGTCTGGACTTTATTCATGGACTGAAGTGGTAAATGCGTGGCACAGCGAAGTCAACAATTATCAATATCCCATCGGCTCCATCAACGGTCTGCCGACTGGACATTACACACAGGTGATGGATGTCCCGGATTACTGTGTTTGATCACTACACGTGCACATTCAATAATATTAAGTGCACTTCATTTTCACAAGGGCCGCACATAACAGCAGTGTATATGTTTGTAATGTAATTATTTGGGTCCCGCTTTATATTAAAGGAGTAGTTCATTTTTTGAAAAAAATTTTGCTGATAATTTACTCACCCTCATGTCATCCAAGATGTCCATGTCTTTCTTTCTTCAGTCGAAAAAGAAATTAAGAAAAAATTTTCTCCATATAATGGACTTTAATGGGGTCCAAACGGTTCAAGGTCCAAATGAGAGTTTCAGTGCAGCTTCAAAGGGCTTTAAACGACACCAGACGATGAATAAGGGTCTTTTCTAGGACATGACTCGAAAAAAGATTCGTTCATTTTGATGAACGAGTTCGAACAGGACGTGCATCACAGAACAGAGCAAGGCGAGCATTTGAGCTTATAAAACTTAAACTTTGTTATTTATTTATTAAATGGCCGATCGTTTCGCTTGATAAGACCCTTATTCATCGTCTGGAATCGTTTAAAGCCCTTTGAAGCTGCGCTGAAACTCTCATTTGGACCTTGAACCGTTTGGACCCCATTGAAGTCCATTATATGAATGTTTTCATCAAAAACCTTAATTTCTTTTCGACTGAATAAAGAAAGACACGGACATCTTGGATGACATGGGGGCGAGTAAATTATCAGCAAAAGTTTTTTTTTAAAGTGAACTACTCCTTTAAGTGCACTCTAAAAAATGCTGGGTTGATTTAACCCAAATTTGGTTCAAATATGGACAAACCCAAATGTTGGGTTAAAAATGTAATTTAAAATTTTAACCCAACTTCAACATTCACTTTCAATTGTACATTTTTAAATTACATTTGGGTTTGTCCATATTTGACCCAAACTTGGGTTGAAACAACCCAGCATTTTTTAGAGTGTGGTACTATGTACTCACATTGAAATGAGTACATGGACTTACTCTACTTAATATAAATTGTACTTATATTTAAAAAATACCAGCTTGTAATTACATTTGTTGACCCTTCGCTTACACCTTACCGACCCATAGCACACACACCTGACCCGTGCCACACCTCGATAGCAGCAAAAGTGTTTTACGATACAACATGAACACAAGAAGTGCATAGCACCTAAAGCCACTTAATATAAAGTGGGCCCATTATGTGTGTGTGCCACATGTGATGTCCGTTGGAGCTAACGCTTGTTCTTGCAGGTGGTGTGGTACAGCTCGTATGAGGTCGGTTGTGCCATGACCCAGTGTGGAAGCGACTACTTCTACGGATGCCATTACTATCGCGCGTACGTTCCCGCTGCCTTTCTCTCAATGCTGAGCTGTTGATTTCACTCTGGGGTGTTTTAAAGAGGACCCGTTATGCCTTTTTAGGAAGCCTTGATGTTGATTATTCTCCTCATATCCTCCATTGTTGCGGCTCCTCTCTTCCCAGTCTGTCAGTAACGCTCTGTTTACTTCCTGTCTCTATGAAGCCCCTCCTTCTGAAAAGCACACTGTGCTCTGATTGGTCGGCTGGAGCAGTGTGTTGTGATGGGTCGAGCGCTTTGAGTGTGTTTATCATAACCTCGAGTTTCAGTCATAGACTGTAACAAAAATATTAACGTAGAGTCCGTGACGTCACCTGTAGTGTTTCTGAAGAGCATTCTTGAAGCCGAAAGTGGGCGGAGTCAGCCGTCGCCATCTTGGCAGCGTCACTCCCGGATAAACGAAATGGGCAGAGGCGGATTAGCTGAGGCGACGTGACGCTAACAGACAAACGGCTAGCGGCAAGTGGCCACGCCCTTAATTATGCAGCGCTTTATAAAATTTAAACAGATGAGTTATAAAAAAAATCCACCCACCCCCCACACACAGTCGTCATGTGAAAAATTAGTAGCAAAATTAGTGAAATTATAGACCAAAACCTCTCTTTACACCAGACTGTAAACATGTTTTTCTGCTGTATAGTTAGGGATTTTACTAACATGAAGGTTTATGGGATTGACGATCTTTTGTAACCGGACTCTAGTGGCCAGTCGATGAACTGCAGCTTAAAGGAGAACTTCACTTAAAAAAACTTTTGCTGATAATTTACTCGCCCCCATGTCATCCAAGATGTCCATGTCTTTCTTTCTTCAGTCGAAAAGAAATGAAGGTTTTTGATGAAAACATTCCAGGATTTTCTCCATATAATGGACTTCAATGGGGACCAAACGGTTCAAGGTCTAAATGAGAGTTTCAGTGCAAACTACAAACTGTTCAAAGGGCTTTAAACGATTCCAGACGATGAATAAGGGTCTTATCAAGCCAAACGATCGCTCATTTAAAAAAAAAAAGTTTTATAAGCTCAAATGCTCGCGCGTTCGTGACTCTCCTGTTCGTTCATTAAAATGAACAAATCTTTTTTCGTGTCATTTGGTTGATTCAACGAATGAAATTAACGAATTGACTCGGAAAAAGATTCGTTCATTTTGATGAACGAGTTCGAACAGGAGAGTCACGAACGCGCATCACAGAACAGAACAAGGCGAGTATTTGTGCGTATAAAATTAAACTTTTTTTTTTTAATGAGCGCTCGTTTGGCTTGATAAGACCCTTATTCATCGTCTGGTGTCGTTTAAAGCCCTTTGAACAATTTGCAGTTTGTACTGAAACTGTCTTTTGGACCTTGAACCGTTTGGTCCCCATTGAAGTCCATTAAATGGAGAAAAATCCTGGAATGTTTTCATCAAAAACCTTGGATGACATTGGGGCAAATAATTTTCAGCAAAAGTGAACTACTCCTTTAAGTCACTTCCGAGACCGGAAGGTTGCCGCTTTAACACACTAACTAACTTAACCAGGCCCCGCCCCTTTAATTCTGTGCATTAATTATTATAATGAGGAATATTGTGTCGTGTTCGTTCCCGGAAGAAACTCAAGACTACAATGGAGGCGTTTCAGGGAGATTTTTCATGCTCAAACAGCAACATTACACACTAAAGAAAGATAAACATGAACGAAAACATAATCGGTCTCATAGACTTCAGTTCAACGCAATCCTCTCCTCTATTTCAGAGGGAATTTCCGAGGAGTCTCTCCGTACTCGCTGGGCTCTCCGTGTGAATCCTGCCCGGATGACTGCCAGGACAATCTGTGCAGTGAGTACACCTACATATTACATTTTCCAGCTCGAGATTGCTTTTACTTCTCATTGAAATTCAATTCTCTCTTGTGCTTCTTCCAGCGAACCCTTGTCCGTACATCAACACGTACATGAACTGTGATGTCATGAAGGAGCAGGCCTCGTGTGAAAACCCCATCGTGAGCCAGGGCTGTCCGGCCAGTTGTCTCTGCGAAGACAAAATCATCCCCATCGCGAGGAAATAACAATCTCTATGGCTATGTTATACGAAGTACGGACATATTTTCCATAGTTAGCGTCTCTTTCCAATAATGTGAAACATATATATTCTAACTTCTTTCTATTTCTATTCTGCCTATGTGGAATACCTCAAATATGATGATACTTAAAAATCAAGGGTACTGTACTTTCATAATATGCTGAAATAGGCCAGTCTGCATTGTTTTGCATTATTACCTCAACCTTTTTTTTTCAGTAAAGCTTATACAATCACAATACAGTAACGCCATTTGTGTTTTATAAGCCTCGTAAACCCAGATCCTGAATACGTGACTGCTGTCCGTCAAACTGTTCGCTCACTGTATGTACAGTGTGTTCGTGCATTTGCTGAAATGTGTGTAATGGTTTCTGCAACACTGCACCATTTTATATACTCACATAAAGTCAAATCATGACAGTCATATTATGCACATTTTTATGACGACTGAGAGACTCGGTAAGGGAATATTTTAATCTACCCCAAATATTGAGCTTAGTTTATATTCATAGTTTTGCTGTATAATTATTATTAGAGTATTAATAATTAGAAATGCACAATGCAAATTTTAATATGCATGAATTGATGTCAACAAATATGCATTTAACATTTTAATCTATCCCAAATATTGAGCTTAGTTTGTATTAATAGTTTTGCTGTATAATTATTATTAGAGTATTAATAATAAGAAATGCACAATGCAAATTTTAATATGCATGAATTGATGCCAACAAATATGCATTTAACATTTTAATCTACCCCAAATATTGAGCTCAGTTTTTATTAATAGTTCTGCTGTATAATTATTAATTGAGTATTAATAATAAGAAATGCACAATGCAAATTTTAATATGCATGAATTGATGCCAACAAATATGCATTTAACATTTTAATCTACCCCAAATATTGAGCTCAGTTTTTATTAATAGTTCTGCTGTATAATTATTAATTGAGTATTAATAATAAGAAATGCACAATGCAAATTTTAATATGCATGAATTGATGTCAACAAATATGCATTTAACATTTTAATCTACCCCAAATATTGAGCTTAGTTTGTATTAATAGTTTTGCTGTATAATTATTATTAGAGTATTAATAATAAGAAATGCACAATGCAAATTTTAATATGCATGAATTGATGCCAACAAATATGCATTTAACATTTTAATCTACCCCAAATATTGAGCTCAGTTTTTATTAATAGTTTTGCTGTATAATTATTAATTGAGTATTAATAATTAGAAATGCACAATGCAAATTTTAATATGCATGAATTGATGCCAACAAATATGCATTTAACATTTTAATCTATCCCAAATATTGAGCTTAGTTTTTATTAATAGTTTTGCTGTATAATTATTAATTGAGTATTAATAAGAAATGCACAATGCAAATTTTAATATGCATGAATTGATGCCAACAAATATGCATTTAACATCTCGATATAATACAGTCCATAATGGTCTTAAAATGTAAAATACTGATTTGCTTCATTATAAAAAAAGGCATGCAGGAAAATATTCCACAAGATAATAATTAGTTTCTCACAGTGCAAAAGTACATCATGTTTCCTGGACATTGTGTAATACTGTGAGTGTCCAGAAGGGGACTCTGCTTCACGCTATATGAACAACAACACATATTTGATACTTCCTGTTATTATTATTATGATGACACTCGTGTGTTCCTTTCCCCTGATGACACTGGTGATCGCGCAAGACTGGATATTGTTGCACCTTTCTGCTTAATGTTGCTGTTACTGTACACGTGCATGAAAACACAACGTGTTTAATAACAAACGGGCTTTGGACTAAATGAGAAAACTCATCAGCTAATGTGTGTCTAGTCGAGGCCATACATTTGCACATAGTTTTCTGATATTACACTCTAAAAATGCTGGGTTGTTCCAACCCAAATTTGGGTCAAATATGGACAAACCCAAATGTTAGGTTAAAAATGTATTTAAAAAATGTACAGTTGAAAGTGAAAGTTGAAGTTGGGTTAAAATTTTAAATTCCATTTTTAACTCAACATTGTCCATATTTGACCCAAATTTGGGTTAAAACTGGAATGGAAAATAGAAACTTCTCAGACTATGCAACCGTCCGTACAATCAATTTTGTGTGTAATATAAAGTCAAAAGTGAGTATTGTGGGAACAAATGCATATTTAGCACTGATAAGCATTTAAATACCCCACAAAGCTAAAATCAAAGTGTGCAATTCCTGCATATTGTAAAAATAATAAATGCACAATGCACTTTTTTATGCATGAATTGATGCTAACAAATATGCATTTAAATTTCTAAAATAGATGTTGTAGACAACAAAATGAAAAGGTTAGTGCATATTTTTGATACTCATATTATGAAACAACAGCCAGTTGTTTTGACATGCACGTTTTTTTCTTTTGAAAAAAAGTAACGGAGCTTGGTGTTATTAAGTAATCTGTATATAATTAAATATACTTACACTAGCTTAAAGGGATCATTCACCCACAAAATAAAAATTAGCCCATGATTTACTCACCCTCAAGCCATCCTATAATGGGAGTGAATGGCTTCAAAATTTGAAGCCTAAAAAAGTGCATCCATCCATTATAAAAATACTCCACACGGCTCCAGGGGTTAATAAAGGCCTTCTGAAGCGAAGCCATGGGGTTTTGTAAGAAAAATATCCATATTTTTAACTTATAAGAGGAACCCGTGACGTGTAAGCAACAAACTCAAGCGCTTCTTCTATTATACAGAAATCCTCAGACAATTCTCTTCAAAATTTCTAAATCGCGACCTGTGTTTGTTTTGCTCTTTGCTTCCGCTTTCGTCATTACGTTGTGCGTGGGGTCAGAGGTCACTCTCCCACCGTAAATCGATGTCTATGACCGTCTGTCAGAAGCTGGTAATGATAGTTTATAATGTTTTAAATATGGGTATTTTTACACACAATTGCATGACTAATGACTTCGATAGGCCTTTATTAACCCCATGGAGCCGTATGGATTACTCTTATAATGGATGGATGCACTTTTATGGACAATTCACTGCCATTATAAAGCTAGGAAGAGTCAGGATTTGTTTTAATATATCTATTAATCTGAAAAGAAGCATGTCATGTCAGTAAATCATGGGCTAATTTTCATTTTTGGGTGAACCATCCCTTTAATTTGCAGCATCTCTGTGTGTGTGTGTGTGTGTGTGTGTGTGTTGGTAAGCCACTGCTAATGGAATTTAAAACATTTTCATTGGATGTAAAACAGACATATCCATATCTAAAGACCGGATTATAATACAACAATGTGTATATGACATTTGACATTTTCTTCTTTAATGATGATTTTTGTCAAACTTGTATATCAACGCATTCTCACCCCAAGGCGTCACCTTTGACCATGCTTCAATATTTGACGTTTTAGGCGCCCTTTAGCGTCACTTACATGACGCGATCCTACGGCGTCATCTAACTGACGCTAAAGGAAAGCGTCAGTTAGAGGACGTGGTTAGGTTTAGGTGTGGGGTGGGGGTAGGGTACACGCGATCCTAAAGGGCGCCTAAAGCGTCAGATATTGAAGCATGTCCAAATGCTTCCCAAGGCGTCAGTTAAGTGACGGCTTGGGGGTGAGAATGGGCTGTGTATATATATGTAAGTTCAGTAATTTCACTTAAATAACAATTAATAGGTAATTAACATTGCCATTTAAGTGAAATCACTGAACTTAAATATACAAGCTTGATAAAAAATGATCATTCTAGAAGAAAATTTCAAATGGCTTTTGCATCTGAACTCTTCATATAAACTCTAAAGTGGGTTTGTGTAGTTGTGCATTAACTTTTGACTCAAACCTTTTAGGCTACACTCTAAAAAATACAGTTGAAAGTGAAAGTTTAAGTTGGGTTAACATTTTAAATGACATTTTTGTCCATATTTGACCCAAATTTGGGTTGAAACAACCCAGCATTTTTTAGAGTGTACTGAGATAAAGCGTAAAGAGAAAGATTTCCCCGTGTGACAACTTGCCCCAGTCTCCTGCATCATGTGTCCTGACATGTACTGTATGCATTCTTCATTATCTGCTGCTGGATCTAGCGAGCGCGGTGTGTGTGTGTGTGTGTGTTTTGGAGCTGCAGTGTTGTGTTTTACCGATGTGAAGTGAGTTCAGCAGATGGCAGTATCTGTCAGACCTCAACAATGACACTCGCAACATTGTAACACTGAAACATTCGAACGCTGTTTGTCCGCGCGGTTACAATGTATCGAAGCCGACAGATGAAACAGAAACACGGACGAGGACTCAACCTGCGATGGCTCTGGCTTTCTCTCTAACGTCTCTTGAGGAGCTTCACTCGCTCGATACTCGAACCGACAGCTAATACTGTACGGTTGTGTGTGTGTTACTCGGGGCTCATGGCGGAGTTTGTCGCTGAGAACTGCGGGGTCTCATCGCCGAGTGGTGGCGGGAAACCAACCCAGCCTTGCGATGAGGAGCCCGGCAGAGCTGCGAGCGAGGTGTCGGTCTCCAACGGGGACTGTGGACCGTGTGCACCCGAGAACCAGGCGCTCGACACGGCCAACGGCAAAACTGGAATACCACGGAAGACCAGTATTATCAAGGTAAACGACCAATGCATCTACGTTTTAGCCTACTCGTTTGGTGTCAAACCTCGCCCTGATACACACACACACACGCATCATCCACAGGTTTGGGGGTTCATGGATGCACAGAAATCACTGTGAACATGTCATTGCTGTTTCCACACACACGATCATGTTTTCTTTTGAAGCGTTTTGTGGTTGATTTCATGATGGACATCAGTCACGTGCGCTCCTTTACATATATTATTCCTAGCATACGTGTTTTAAATGATCCAATATTGGCTTAATCTTTGCATAGATCCGTGGTTCATGTCAACTATTCAGTACGTAATCTAGATGTTGCTTAATCCAGGTTTAGGTCATTATTACTCAGTTAACGTTACTGGGAATATGGTATCTAGTGGATTATGACATAATGCCATCTTTTTTTTTATCTCACTCCTAGCTAAAATGCCCTTTTACATGTCGATATTAGTAAAAGTGGAATATGCACCAAATTGAACCACACATCCTCAACAATTCAATGGCAAACATTAGTGACAACACAACTAACCAGATGCTGGTAATGAATGTTGAAATCTTCGCCAATGTTTAATGCCAGACTTGTTGAGTTCAGGTAATGGTGGTAATATTGAACTCAAGGGCAACATTTTGCTTTTTTTTAACACACATTTAGTGTGTTGATTGTGAGTAAAAATACCATTTATGGCTTCAAGTCTTCATTAATGATTTTTTGCACAGTTGCACTTCTTCTTCAAGGCCACTACTGCTGCTTTACATAAAGCGAGAGGCAAAATGACTGCGGTGCCTTCAATCTGAATTAATGAATTATTTTCAGGGAATCTCCCAGTGAGTTTGTTGAACGTTATTGGGAAATTTAGAGCGTTTTACTGTAGAAAGCCGTGACAGGAAACACTCTACTTCCCCATGCTGACTGGTGTGAGCCATAGAGCCATTCTAGATCCATCTAAAGATAAAGATTTGATGCATGACATTTTTATAAAACAGCCTCTTATTTTACTCTGATTTAGTTTTGGTGCCAATATGTGCCATTTGAGGTCAAAGTTCGCCGCTGAAGGCAGGCAAGAATGTGACTAATGTCGAACAGCGTGTTTAGAGGAGAGTTCAGCCGTGGAAGAGGAAATGCTTTCTCTGCTAAATGTGTTTCACTTTGCATTGCTTTTAGTTCCTGTAGCAACTACAGTGTTTCCTGTGGAAATATTTATCATTTGTTTCTCGGCTCCATGTGGTTAGAGCGATCACAAGCTCTCAGGTGAATCACAGACGCGGTGAGACTATTGTTCGTGCAACTGGAGACCTATTTTGGGTGGAACAAGTAGTTGCTTAACAATGACCGTCCTAAAACATCAGATCGCATCTTTGTTCCCTCTGATAAAAGTTGATTTAAATCTTCAGGTTTGCTGTGCTTCTTTGTAGAGATGCACAGTTATTTATAACTGAAGAGTTCAGATGCAAAAGCCTCTAAGTGCCATTTGAAATTTTATTCTAGAATGATAATTTTTTATCAAGCTTGTATATTTAAGTTCAGTAATTTCACTTAAATGGCAATGATAATTACCTATTAATTGTGAAATTACTGAACTTAAATATACAAGTTTGATAAAAATCATCATTAAAGAAGAAAATTTCAAATGTCATTTAGAGGCTTTTGCATCTGAACTCTTCAACTGTAAATCTATTTTTTTTTTTTCAAATAATTGCATTTTTATAGTACAGTTGCAAAATTATAAATGACTATACTATAACTATTCAACCCAAATATAAGCGGAAAGGATTTAAATAAACCTCAAGCAACAAATCCTTTCCGCTTATATTTGGGTTGAATAGTTATAGTATAGTCATTTATAATTTTGCAACTGTAGGCTACTGTAAAAATGCAATTATTTGAAAAAAAAAATAGATTTTTTTTTCAAATGTTTTAATATTTTTCAACCCAAATATAAGCTGAAAGGATTTAAATAAACCTCAAGCAACAAATCCTTTCCGCTTATATTTGGGTTGAAAACCTCAGGGAACTTTTAAAGCTTGTTTTATTTTGATGAACTACATTTATTATTACAGCAGCAAAACTTTGAAACTCGGTCACAGCGATGTATTTTGAACTTCTGATTTAATTTACAAAAAAAAAAAAAAAAAAAATTCTCATTTTTATCCAACTATTTTGTTAAAAAGATAACACAGTAATGATTCTCTCGACTCGTAACATGCGATTTAGTGAGTCGTTTGAGCCGATTCAGTGAGTCAATCAGTTGTTTGACTGATTCAGGCCATGATTCGGACCTGTGTTTGATTCAGACTGATATAATAACCTCTGATTCAGTTATAAAGAGATGCAGAGTCACTTCTGTGCATGAAACCCTGCAGCAAACCCTCTTGCAGTGTTGCAGTTTGGGGTTAAAGACCATCTGTGTTCGCCTAAAGATATTCAGCTGAGTGTAGATGTTTCTAACACACACATTTTATTTACAGCAGGCCTGTTTAAAGTCCTCACAATATATATATATATATATATATAATATATATCATGGAATGAAGAAAAGAGCATCTTCTGTCATGCTATTGTAATGAGCCAAGAGGCCATGTATTGCTAAAATGAATTTGATTGATTGTCAGTTCACAAATAAAATATAAATAACATTTAAATAATATTTAGTTAAAACACATTAGTAACCACCAAGGACTTGCATTGGGAATATATATTCAACTTCTTATTTTCTGACGTGTTCCATCAGGCATTATATGCTTTTTCTCTCAATCGGTGATTCAGAATTGATGTGTTTGTTATTTGTGAACCGTCTTCTTTTTATTAGTCACATTATTTTCATCAGTCAAGCTCAGTAAACACTGTCACAGACGGGGAGATGTACCTTTAATTTCATCAAGCACATCATCACCCACTAAACCCCCTCAGTCGTCGTGTTTTCAGGCCATTTTAAGTTTGATTTTTACTTGACATAAAGCAGTGATATCTAAGTTTAATAAGTGTTCCCATCAACGGCACCATTGACTTCCCCCATTCATTCTCAATTACCCCCCACTAAACCCAGTAAAGCTTTTAATGTTGTTTATGTGTGTATGTGGTGTTTTTATTACGCTTTAACTCAAACATGTGTAAATTCGTAAGTCGAGTATTTCCTCCTTAAAACTGCAGTGAACCAAAGACAGTCTCAAAAACACGCTTTGAAATCGCTGGTGTTTCTGACGTCACAAACCACCTTGTAACCAATCAGATCAACGTGTGATCGTCAGCCGGTGGATCTCTGAGTGGAGGCGGGGCTCATTTGCATATTCATAGAACCGCAAATACTAAATAAGGCAAGGGTGTCGAGTTACATTCAAGATATTTTAGGGCATGAAGGTTTAAATGTTCATTTATTATGTACTTTGGTACTATAAAATTATTGGCTACAGGGGGGTTTTAAAAGTGAATGGGCTCAGGGGAGGCAAGATATATATATAGATAGATATATATATATATATAGATAGATAGATAGATAGATAGATAGATAGATAGATAGATAGATAGATAGATAGATAGCTGGTGAAGATATTGATATTTCTGTCTTCTTTAGTCTAGGAAATCTCTGACTGATCTTTAGTCTCACAAAAGCCTTTCACGATGAACAGAACAGAGTATAGACTATATCTTATTTGAATTCTTAAAGGGATAGTACACCAAAAAATGTCAACTCTGTCAGTAATGACTCTCCCTCATGTTGTTCAACCTCGAGAGAAGATGAATAGTTGAATAAAGTCGTTATTTTTGCCACTGGAGCCACTGGAGCCACTCGGAGTATTTTAACAATGTCTTTACTAACTTTCTGGGCCGGCAAGTTTTAATTACAGAAGCCTATGGAGGAGTGAGACAGCTCTCAGATTTAATCAGAAATATCTTAATTAGTGTCCTCCTGAAGACAAAAGTCTTACAGGGTTGAACAACATTACTGACAGAGTTTACATTTTGGGGTGAACTGTCCCTTTCAGGGGTGGAGGAAGTGCTGAATCTCAATACTTAAGTAAAAGTACAAAGATACATATTTACTTCAGTAAAAGTAGAAGTAACACAATGACAACCATATACTTAAGTAAAAAGCACCTGATTTTAAATGTACTTTAAGTATTAAAAGTGAAAATACTTGCATAACAATTGATTCTCTTAATGACTATTTTCTAATGATTAATAAAACTCATTCAACTTAATACTCCTATTAATGATGTTCAATAATGATGGAAAAACATTTCTGAAACAAGCTTGCAATTAAGTTAGGCAATATAAACCATGCTTATCCTTACTATGTTAATAACTATGTTTGGCAGTAAACGCGATTAATTTATGGTGTAATTCTGAACCTCTTGGCTTGCCATAATCCTAACCAAACGTATATTACACACGGTGCGTTTTCTATGCACGTAAAAACAAATTTTCGCGTATAAATTGCACGATAAACAGAGACGCATTTAGTTGATGTATCTATGGCAACCAAACGTCACTGGTGAGACAAACGTGCAACGAACGGACGGTCAGATTACGTTTTGGCATGGGAAAAACTGATCAGAAAATGTAACAGAAGTAGAAAGTATAATATTTGTTGCAAAATGTAACGAAGTAAAAAGTACGCACTATTTATTCTAGCCTACTTAAGTAAAGTAATACGTGAAAAATGTACTTAAGTAAAGTATTTGTACTTTGTTACATTCCACCACTGCTCCCTTTAAGAATTCAAACTCGAGCTGGACAATAAATATGAAAGAAATGTAATGAAATTAAAATTGAAATTAATTTTTTTTTTTTTTTTTACCAGGAATCTTTCATGAATAGAACGTTCAATTGAATTTGAAACGGAAAATTTCTGTGACATAAGAAAATCTTTTATTAGATTGAAATAAACTATGACCTATAGGCCTCTGTGGGCTTTCATGTGTTTGAAAAAAAAATGTTCACACGTCCTTTTAGTCTTGCAGCGAACTCAATCTCAATCTCAGCTGTTTGACATCGT